CTCATGACTACCTAAGAGATTTAAACGAAAGACTCAAGGTATCCCGTGACATAGCTCGCCAAAACGTTGAATCAATGAAAGAAAAGGCAAAAGACGACACGACACGTACGACAGTAATATTAAAAATATAGCCAAATTTAACGTAGGTGATAAAGTTATGCTCAAAGTCCCAAGTCCAAACAACTTAAATAGCCTTTGGGACGGCCCTCATGTTATTGTTAGAATAGGTTTTAATGAAAATTATGTTATACAAAAATCTGGAAAAAACCAATTAGTACATGCGAATCGTTTAAGACCATTGCATGACTTCACTCCATCATCATAACATTTACTCTAAGACTAGATCGTAATTATTCATAAAATATTTAACTTTATTTCTATTGCAGGGTGGCTCAAATAATGGCACACCCTAATCCCTTAAGCAATATGACCCTTAGTTTAAATGAAAATCTTTTAAATTTTATAAACAACCCATATATTAATTTTACAATTTGTTCTATTATTAAATTATTACTTTACATCATTTTATACAAAGTTTACTTATTTTCTAAGAATTATTATATAACTAAATTTAAAGGAAATCAAAACAATTAACTAGGATTATTTTAATTTTCAGGTACTCCACAACTTTTGTTGATGGGGATACCCACATAAATCCCATTCCCTCTAATTCTGGACTCTATTTCGAAAACAATGATGAAATACTAATATCTGAAAATTCCTGGAAACTTATCATATATCGTAACTTTGAACCTTTATTCCTAGCTCGCAACTCTATCAAAAGACTCGTAAATAACTACCAATCTCTTATCGCTACACATTCAAATTTACCCACCGTTATCACTACTACTTCATTTATAAAAATAAACATAGACAGAATAGACTCTAGACTCGATGAACTTAATTCTTACACTGATAACAAGCGATCCAAACGTGAAATGCTAGACGGCTTAGGTTCAGTTCTGAAATGGCTCATTGGTGTTCCAGACGCAAAAGATGCTAAACATTATAACGAATGCATTGAACAGCTAGAGAAACAACAAATATCTACTAATGATATTCTAAAACAGCAATTACAAATTATTTCTTCAACAATCACAAATTTTAATGAAACAGTACATAAAATCTCTTATGATGAATATGTTATTAATGAAGATATTAACAAAATAAATTTATATTTCGCCTCCACAAACAAACTTATATTTAATTTAACTATCCTTGAAGAAATATCGACCGTTTCAATTCAAATTCTTGAAGCCATAGTTTCTTTAGAACGAGATATTGACGATGTCACCACAAGTATACTTTTTATTAAATCGAATGCAATACACCCGTCAATAATATCAACTATGCGCCTATACAAAGAATTACTGTCTTCTAATCCCGCTAGGCTCAACAAAAACTTAGTTGCCCCAATAACATTACCTAATATACACAAAATTCTCGAATCTGCCTCTATTACTTCCTATATTTATATGAATAAAATTATATATATCTTAGAATTCCCTTTAGTTAAAAACGAAAAATTTATATTATACCATTTATATTCTATTCCCATGCTACATCCTGACTCCTCCTTATATTCCACTATCCTTCCCGAACAAACATACCTTGCCATGAGTACCACTAGACAGCAATACGTCGTTATGAGCTCACTGGACAAATGCAAAGACTTTGCAACGGAATCCAAAGTCTGCAGGGATCTTCTCATCTACAACATCAACACCAGACCTATATGCGAAGTTGTTATCCTAACAACGAGTCAACAAGTTCCTGAAGTTTGTGATATCACTACATTTTCAGCTCATATCAATACTTTTCAAGCTCTTAGAAACAACAACTGGATCTACATACTCCAACGCAAGACTCCGTATGCTTTAGAGTGCGAAAGCAAAACAACTCACGGCGAAATCTCTGGAGCAGGTATCATCACTCTAGAACAAGGATGTAAAATAAACACCGCGTTTGTTACACTCCTAGCTGAGGACACTAAAACAATCAACATCAGTCATCCTTTTACTTCTGTGGATATTGAACACATTTGCCTCCCAGAAGAAGTTAAACTACAACAACCAGAACTTGCAGCAATCCAGCTCAACAACATCCAACTCGACTCTCTTAACTCAGTTAGAGACCAAATAAAAATACATTCAAAATTACTTAAAGAAAATAAATCTACATTCTCAGAAAAACATGCAACAAAATTTTCCATATTTGGTTTGATTACTGGCATCATTATGCTAACATATTTTTGTTACAAATGTTACAAGTGCTTGCCATGGAATAACATGCCCATAAATCCACATGGCAACTGTATACAAATTTTTAATAACTGCTTTGACCGTTCTCGTCGCCAACAACACGTCGAAGTTCCCATGTCATCGATAAACACCACTGCTACAACATCCTGCATATCAGAAGACGAAGACGAAGCTGCTGACTACATTCAAAAATCGAGCAAAACCGCTCAATCTTTGTTCTAAGGGGGGAGGTGTTATGTTATAGGTTCTATTATTGTGTTACATACTATTTACTTTATATTATAAGTCTTCTATACTCCTATACTGTTATTCTTATATTACTTATTTACTTTAAAACTAAATTACATTGTTTACCTAGAAACCAAACCAATTAGATTGTAATATTTAAATACTAATGTTTACTGTTCCAAAGTTTACCATTCTTAATTGTATCTTAGAATAAATTAACGATAAACACAAACAAGCATAATGTTATTCCCTTATCTTTACCCCTACCTCCTAGCTTCCCACGATCCTACACTATATAAACCAAGTCCTTCGATCCCACAACACAATTCTATTTCCAAACTCTCTGACTCAACTTCTATATTTTAAGTTAGTTTGTATTATAGTTAAATATTAAATATATTAAATAAATTTATTTTCAAAAGAGTTTTTGTCTCTGCCACATAACACTGCTAAGTTCATTTCATCCCAGTATCTACTCCAGTGCTGTTGTGGAGAGTTTTTGAACTGTTATTTACTGCTTATAGATGGCCACTTGTTCAACTATTCTACTATTATTATTACACATTTATTTTTATCGAATTCTTATCAGAAAATAAGAATAATTTTTTTACTTTTATGTTTATTTCCTTCGAATTGAAATTTAAAATAACAATTTTAACAATCTGGCGCCTAGTGAGCGGTTTCTTCTGGGTGATTGTAGATCCAGCCTCTGAAAATAACCGCTCACTGGATACCGACGTTGCCACGTAGGCTATGAAGCCTGGGAAATAACCCTTTCGTGCCATCCCACATCTCCAACGCATGTAATATATGAAACTTTTCTTCTGCTTTAGTTTTATTTCTTATGTTTTAGTGCGTTACTTCTTTATGGTAGTTCCATATGTCACCTTCAGTATTATCGCATTTTCTGAATACATCTACTAAACTATATCGGAATACAAGCAGTTGAATAACCGTTCATCCATCAAAATCATTTTTCAGAAAAGTTATTTTAACGAAATACGAAGTACCGTAAGCCAAAAAGAAAATTCCAATACAAAATAACTATTACTCTAAAAAACTATACTTAAGCTATTGATTAAGTTAAAGCTCAAACAATATAATTATTAATAAAAAAATGAATAAAACCATTCCAATCCATTTTCAATATTAATTGTTTGCTCTCCAAAAGCGAAAAACAGACTCGTGTGGATTGGTGCCAATAAATGCGTCTACAGTTTGAAAACGGGGCATCTAGTCATGTTTCAGAAATCGTTACTGGTGAGGAGACATGAATCTATCAGTATGATTCGGAAAATAAAAGGCAATCATGGATCTACTCACTAGGACAGTTATCGACAAAACTGCAAAGACCTCGCAACGTCGGCAAAAAATAAGGATAAAATATATAAATAAAACAAACTACATAAAACGGTGGCTAGTTTTTTTTTCACTGAGCGGACATTTGTCGACGTCAATGCTGGAAAATTGTCGGGCAGAAAGCTGTGCGGGAAAGACGACCAAAGACCGGGCTTCGGGGAATCACGCTGCATCACGATAACGCTTCTTCACATACCTCCCTTAGAACAAAAGCATTTATTGAGGAATCTGGTGTTGAAACTCTAAGTTGACACTCTACAGCCCTGACTTAGCTCCTTGTGATTTTTTTTGTTCCCAAGAGTCATAGAAAAAACAATAGGCAACCAAAGCGTCGAAGAAGCCGTGGCTGCCTACGAATAAGCTATTTCCGACCTGTCATATCAAGACTGGCAAAAGTGTTTTCAGAGTTGGTTTAGGCGAATGGAACTTTGTATAGAGCATGATGGAGAATATTTTAAAAAGATGTAAAATAAATATTAATAGTATCTAGAATACTTTTGTATATATCAAAACTTATTCAGTGTCCTACGTATGATTGTTAGATACGATTTCATACGACAAAACATCGGATTCTTGACTTTTAGGCGCTAGTGGAGTATACTTGCAATTAAGTCACGCAATATAATACAAGTGTACAAGTAATGACAAGCTCGCGAAAGTATCCATGTGGTCAGAGTTAAGTTTTGCAATACCCATCGCAAAATAATCCAAAAATATTAAAATATTTTCGATCATACTTTTAACCTCATGGTGATTAAAAGGCAAATGAAATTGCACTCTTAAACAGATACATAGAGGCAGCTAAACAAACAATTCTCTAAAAGCATGAGGCTAGAACCAAGCAATTTCAGTGCAGATCGTATTCAACGGCAGCGTTGGCTTGTTGTAGCATTGAGATATTGTGTAATAATATATCATTACATATTACATGACATTACATTACACAACTGGCTGCCGCAATTTAATATTGTAAGTGATACCTCATTGTCTCATATGTGAATTGGGTATTATAATATGCAAAGACAAATGTTTTCTTAAAATAAACTTATATTTTAAATTATAAATACATGTCTACTGATAAAACTTAATGCCTAAATGCTTGACTAGCTTGATAATCTTGTCGTATTAAAAACCGATAAACTAGAAGTCTGTTCAATTAATCATTTTCATTTCCACATCTTCTTCATCCTTACTTAGCATTTCCTCGTTCTTAAATCTTCCATAATTGAAATAGTCTTCAATCTCCTGCAAAGTTCTGTCTTTTGTTTCGGGTAGTATAAAATAAAACACTACTAGAGTTAAGCCCATAGCTGATCCAAAGATAGTGAATGTTCCATAAACTTTAACGCTTTCGAGTAAATACGGCGTAATTTTGAGTGCTATGAGTAGGATGAGAGACATTGCAAGACCTGCAAGAGCTGATCCAGAACCTCTGTGAGCTAATGGTAATACTTCACCTAATAAAGCTAGAGGAATCGGTGTACACGCCAAATTGGCCAATATAAAATACAGTACAAACAATGATATTGGTATCCATGTATAATTATTATAAATGATTGCTTTAGATACTAGATAAAGGTATGTGCATACACTAAATAAAAAAAACAAAGCAGAAAAACCAGTAACAAATAGAAGAGTGCGACGTTTGTAAATTTTGACCAATACCGAGGAAAATATAGCGCTGGTTGTTATAATTATATCTAAAGCTAATGTATAATAAAACGATTGAGATTTGTCTCCTGTTATTTCACCAATAATTTGGGATGCATATGCGGGAAAAATATGTCGGAAAGAAAATTCAATTAGCAGCCCGCCAAATACTATTATGATTAATGGTTTCACGAAATCTTTTCTCGTAAACTTCTTTAAAAATTCAACAATTTTCTCGTTGAAACTGCTGTTTCTTATATCAACTGATTTATCCTTTTGAGCTCTGATTAGTTCATATAATTCTTTTTCAGCTTCTCCACTATGTCCTCTCAACCAGTAAAACGCCTTTTCACTCTTCTCGAATTCTTTCCTTGTAACTAACCATGCAGGACTTTCGGGCCAAGTATAAATTATGATGAGGGAAATAATATACGGGAACAATGATAGAAATGCAACAGTTCTCCAGTGAAAATAATTTCCTAGGATGTGAATCATCATGCTTCCCAAGCAAACGCTGGCTGTTTTTAAATTTAAGTAAGTGCCTCTATTTTTTGGACTTGAGTATTCTCCAATAATCACTGCTCCTAGACATACTGAAGCACCACCCGTAAACCCAGTTAATAATCTTCCTATAAGAAGTGCAGTTACACTGCCTGCTAAGTAAATAAAAAGCCAGCCCAAAATGCCAGGTATTATGATGATAGCGTGCGCCATCTTCCTGCCTCCCCAATCCATGAGGATAGAGGATATGAAAAAGCCAGGGATTCCGGCCACTGCAACCACTGAAGCTGAAATATAAAATGAGTTATTTATAGTAGTAATTTCAATGTAGTAAAATATAACGTAACGTCCGAAAAGGGACAAGTGAACCTTGTTTATTTCTTATGTACATAATAATGTCTTTACCAATGAAATTGCCGTTCTGCAGTACTGGCCATTTCAAATCAAAATAATTTTTGTTTGACTAAGAATTTTTCATTTCAAATTAATTTTAACTTAAAAATGGAGTTCTTTTTTCAAAATTAGTCATTTGATTATTAAGTAGCGTTATGTTTGCTTCGCATTTGAATCTTGTTCGTCATCATGGATAGGTTAAAAATTCGATTAATTATGGAGTTTTTCTAAATTTATTAATGAGAAAAAAGTATTTTTTTAAGATTAAGATGCTTTATTTATAAGAATATGGCACATTATAGTTGTTACTAAATAACTTCGATCCTAAATATTCTGCCATTTCCAGCGTAGAAATATTTTCAGATAAATTATTTAAGGATATTATAAAAAATTAAGACGTTAATTATTATATACTAAAAAGATACTTGCAGCAAAACCTATAGAAACTAAATCAATTTTAATCGAAATATCAATCAATTCATAATATTAAATGTAACCATGTATTGCCAAAAAAAGAATACACCTATACCTTCTTTGAGTATAGTTGTGTTCTTTGCTTTGGTACACTCAATCTATGTATGTTTCTACTAGTCCTAGTTACAATATCGTTGTGTTTTTCAAATATATCACTATTTTTGTGAACCAAGACACTGATTTCGTAAATGTATAAAGCTGGAAGCGGCAATATTTTATGTTTGCAAAAAGGGAAATACAAGTATCTAATTGGTGTACTCTGCATAAAAACCTTAGACATTTTTTCTGCGAAAAGCTCTAATGAAATCGACACAATTACCCCATATTATTAAGCCGTAACGTAGGATCGAAGAAACATATACATGATAGGCAGAGAGTGCGGCCTCCATGTTAGCCACTCGTCCTAACCGATATAAAACAAAGACAAATTTATCTAACTTTTTACATAGGTTATCAATATGTGTCTTCCAATAATAGAATTCCTAAAAAGTTTATACGTTGTAGAGCCATGCTGCAGTTATATTGGTAGTATAGTTGTAGCACGAATGGATCGGCTCGACCGGGGAAGGACCACGCTCTCACAGAATACCAGCGTCAAATAGTAGCCTAATGCTGTGTTTCGTATGGTGAGTGTAGAGAATCGGAGACCCTTTTTACTGGAAACGAGGCATTCCATCTTAGTCCTCACGGGTGACAACGCATCTGCATTTTGATTCATAATCGAGGATGTAGATGTCTATGGGCCACAGCAACCACTTACCATCAGGTGGACTGTGTGCTCGTTTGTCACCCTATCCTATTAAAAAAAAACTAAAAAAAAAGAGTTAGTATGGTCCACTTTATCGATGACGTTTTTCCCATATTCAGTTTTAAGTGGTCCTTCTTTACTATTATATATGTGATATCTTACCATCTTAGTTTTTCCGATGTTACTTTGTAAATTGTTATGTCTTAACCAATCTATTATTGTTTCTAAAGTCCTACGTAGTCAAAAATTTCTTTATTAGTTTTCAATATTAATGATAATGTCATCAGCATACAGCTGTCGTGTGTGTGTGAGGTCCTGGTATACATTCTTGTGGCATTCCGCATATGTTTTTGCAATATTGTGACCTATAATTTTTTCTACGGTATCCTGAGTAACTTGATACCTTGACGCATTGTTTTCGTTGACTTAATAATTTTATATTAATTTTAGTGCATTACTCTTATACTATATCTAGTAAATTTGTGTAACAATAATTCGTGGTTAACAAAGTCAAATGCCTAGGATCAATTAAAATGGCTGTTATAGGTATTTTGTTGTTTAGGCTAGTAGTTATTAGTTTTATTAAGTTGAAACATGCTAAAGTCGTTGACTTGTTTTTTGTAAATCCATATTGCTCTGGTTTTAATATTTAACGTTTGGTAAAGAAGTTATAGATTCTGGTATGTATGGCCTTTTTAAATACTTTGGATAATTTTTTTTTATTTTTTAATACTTCTTGGGACAATAATTGTTTATGTCACTTTTATTACCTTTCTTATAACTCTAGTGTGGAGGTGTGTGTAGAGTGGTTTGGTTTAACGATAGTAAATTTTAGTCTAGTTGGGAAAATACCTTAAACAAAACATACATTGATAATGTGCGTCAGAAAGACAAATATTTGGAGCATTTTTTAAGATTTTAGTGCTAATATCATCATAAACTGTAGAATTTGTATTTTTAAGAAATTAATTATTTTTATAATGTCAGTGTTATTTATTGGAACTACATGTATAGAATTGGGATAAAATGACAATATAGATGTATAGTCATTATTGGTTGTTTACTTGGTGTTTTAATGTAATTAGTTAAATTTATAAAATAATTGTTAAAGACTTCCGCTATTTTTTCTGGCTGATCATTAATAACTGCCACATCATTTAAAACTACTTTTACGGATTTTATCACATTTATTTTACTTTTATTTTTAATTCCCGACGTTTCGGGCGCTTTCCAGCACCCTGGTCACGGGGGACTGAGATGACTGACGTCCCGATGTCATTGTTAAACCCGGAGTACCTTCAGCTTTTTTAATTATTGTTTATGGTCCGATCTACGCAAAATGAATTGACTATGTCCTGAGGTCTTGAAGGTATGCTTGGGTTTAGTTTTAATTTTATTGATTATAGGATCCCAAGCAGGTGGTAGTACCCAGCTTCCTTCTCTATTGAAATTAGGATGGTTTTTTAATTTCAATAGCCTCACGTATCATCCTTGGTAGGAATCGGTGTTCTTTCGCGAGGCTTTGTGGTCTATCAAATCTGATGTAATGGTTGGGGCCGTCTAGGATATGATCGCAAACTGCAGACTTCCCGGAACGTTGATGCTTCACATCAGCTATACGTTCGGGACTAGACCGGAGTAACCCGAAGAACAATGACATCGGGACGTCAGTCATCTCAGTCCCCCGTGACCATGGGTGCTGGAAAGCGCACGAAACGTCGGGAATTAAAAATAAAAGTAATTAAAAGTAAAATAAACGCGATAAAATCCGTAAAAGTAGTTTTAATCAATGTGTAGTGTTCCCGTAAATATAAGAAATCATTATGCCACATCATTGTTAACGTTTTTTATTATTTGCCAAACTGCCTTACTTTTGTTGTTAGAAATAAGTAGGTAGTGTGTATTGTCAAGTTTCTGGGCTTACAGTATGCGTTTCCTTAAAATATATTTATATATTTGTAATATATTATCCAATCTATTTTGTTTATTGTCGAAAGACAGCATTTCCAATACAAACGTCTTTTATCGTCTGCTAATTTTTTTAATACCTTGTGTAATCCATTTGTTTTTATAGGTTTATTTGTTTTTTTACAATAATTTTAGAGAAACACAAATTATAAAGTAAGGTTCAGAGTATCATGAAAGTAGTTGAAAGCCAAATTAGTATCTTCAGCCTCATATACATCAGAAAACGATAGGTTTGAAATATAGGACAGAAACTTTTTCATGTTTTCACTACTAAGGTCTTTTTTTTCTCAAACCAAAACGATTTCCTAACATGACTTTTATTTATATTTGCCTGAAAAGTTATTGATGGGCAAGTTTCATGATATGACAGCGCTGAAAAGTGAATATACAACCAAATATTCACTTTTTGAAGATAATTAGCAATCAAATCAATATACGACATTTTTCTAGTTGGTTTACAAATGTGGTTATTTAAGTTATGGTTGTATGAAATAGATTAAAGTGTTTTAGAATTAACATCATTTTTCAAAATATCTATATTGCAATCTCCACAAACTATAATTCTTTTCGTGTTACTATCGAAATTTTTACTTATGTCAATAAAATAACAGTTTGAAAAATTCTGTACAAATAACTTGATTTCTCTATTCAACAACTTGACATTTAAAAAATCATTATTAAATACGTTTAATAAAAAGACGTTGTTATTATTCAACTTGCAAAGTTTAGAACAAAGATTATTCGGAAATATATACGGATTTTTCTTATTGCTTCCTACACCTAAAATTATAATGTCATCTGTAACGAAATCTCTAATATACTATCAATACTATAAAATATTTACGCGCTGGTTGCATTTGGTTTGCATATACCGGAAACTGAGTAAACATTGTTATATTTGTTTTTACATCCCTGCTTCGACATTTCTTGAACGAGTCCTCGTACTTGCTGATCTCGTAGGATTATGATTATTGGTGTTGACGAAGTATTTTTAGATTCGTTATAGTAATGTTTTTCTTTCTTTGCATGTTCATAGTCTGAAGTCTCTTTATCTGGGTGTATTCTCCATACTCTGGGTTCATTTTTAATTATGTTTTCATTTTTTATACCCGTATTATTATTTATATATGTCGGTTTTTTTGCAAACAATTTCAGAAGCATGTGGCATTGGCATGTGGCAAGCAGTGGTGATACCCTGTACTGAAGATACAGTAAAGAACTTGGGGGTCCACATAGGTAAAAATATGTCATGGGACCATCAAATCAAAAAGATTTATCGTAAAGTTTATGTTTCTGAAGCCTCGTTGCGTAGGTTACTTAACTTTCTTCCCATTTACATCAAAACTATGCTTGCTAAGTCCCTGCTTTTCCCTATTTTTGACTATGCGGACGTCAGCTCTCACCGAAGCTTAGCTTGATAAACTTGAGCGAATTCAAAATAGCGGTATAATATAATAAGTTTTATATTCGGATTACGTAAATATGACCACGTCTCTCTCCTTTGTACTAAGCTCAAGTGGTGGTCAATATAACTTCATTGGAATGCTCACATAGTTCAATTTCTCTACAGTATTCTCTTTAATCTTTCATACCCATAAAATTCCATAAATTCGCAAAAAAATATTGTGGGTCACTCACGGGAAAAAAACTCATATCTCTCAAGTTGGACCAAACTGCACACGGTGTGCAAATTTGATTAAAATC